GCAAAACGGGTCTGCGTAATGCGCCGGCTCCTACCAGGCAGCGGCGACCGTCTGGTGGAAGCCCTCGAGCTTGGGCCAAAACCTCTCGAAGTGGAAACGCTTGTGGCCAGGAAGGGGGAGGTACAGTCGACGAGCAACGGCGCATGATCCGAGGCAGTGGATGATAGGCAGCGTAGCAGACAGTGAAGGTGGGCCACCTCCCAGCTTGGCGAGCAAAGAACATGGTCGATGCGCATGAGCGTGGGGGGTCGTGCTCACTGGACCAGGTGTAGCGCCTGCCATGGAGGTACAGATCGCGGATCTTGGTGTCAGCCATGAAGCGGCGGAAACGTCGCATGGAGCGCTGGTTGAGCCTGTCATTGTTCTTGTCGGCCGAGGATGCGATCATGTTGAAATCGCCGCCGATGATCCAGGGGCCAATCTGTGTGGCGCGGAAGTCAGAGAGGTCAGAGAGGAGCGAGGCTTTGCCCGCCTCGTCCTGGGGCCCGTGGACGCCCGTGATCCACCAACGGGAGTCGGATCCTAGAATGGTGGCACAGGCCGCGACGAAGTGGGCCTCGATGAAGGGGTTGGTATGGGAGATCCTAGAAGGGCGCCATGCGAGGATGATGCCTCCACGCGTGCTATCAGCGGAAAGGTGGTAGAAGCTGGAAAACTCATGCCCAAGGGAGTCGGGAACCAAGTAGGGGGAAACATCAGCAAGCTTAGTTTCTTGCAAACAGACCACAGAGGGGCGAGCAGTGCACATGACCGAACGGACGGCGCTGTGCTTCGCTGGGCAGTTGAGGCCGCACGTGTTCTGGAAAATAATACGGAGACTACTATCCATAGGAAACCGAGCAAAACATAGTACAAGCGGCACAACTAGACTAGGCGGCAATGAGCCGGCTAGGCGAGGCGGCCAACGTCGCGGTCCTAAGAGAGAAGCGGGAGGGCACGTTCCATCCGTAGAAATCGGTGAGCGCCTACACGGTCTGGGCCGCTAGTGGCTCCTCAAGCAACCTAGAGTGTTTGGCCAGTATCTCCGCGGAGAGTGGCTCGTCGTCGTTAAGAAGGCCGGGGCGACGGAGAAGGACACACCGTGCCTTGGACTCGGAGTCCAGGCCTCTATCTGAACGCACAAGCCGATGACTACGTCGGGGGGTGAAGTTTGGCGGCACCATGTTCCGACAACGTGGGGGTGGGGGCATGCAGGAGAGAAGCGATGGGTGCCTGGACCAAGGTCGAGAAACATGTCAGGGAAGACGAGGGGTCGCTGCATGGGGCGGCCGCATCGCGGGGCACTATAGGGCGGTCGTGGTGGGGCAAGGAGGGAGGCGACCCCACGTGGTGCGAGGACGATGGCACGCTCATCAAGTGGGGCCTTAGGAGGCATCGGGATCGGTGCACCAGCAGGCACCAGGGTCGGTGCACCAGCAGGGGGAACCGGTCGCGCGGGGGCGGGGCCACCTCGGGAGCCGTGGGAGGGGGGCGTGCCGCAGTTGTCGATTGGGCGGGCAGGGGATCCCATGCGAATGTCCGCAGAAGGATCTGGAGCGTCCTAGTTGACACTAGCGGGCGCAGCACACATGAGCAGGGGCCCACACGGGGGCGAGCCCAATGTAGGGCAGGGCAGGGAGACGGCTGGAAAGGGGCGCGCGAGAATTTGAATTAAAGCCGAAAACTGGGGGGCCCTACTGACGTCCACAGGCACAGGCGGGTTGACGCGATGACGAGCCATTTGTTGGCCTGTTGCGGCCGCCGGGCCCGTGGGAGGGTGGGCCCCGAGGATGCCCTCCAGGCGCGCGCCAGGGGAGGAGCGCCTCACCGCCGGTGAGAGCCGCCACGCAAGGAGGTGTCGCGGCCAGAACCACCATCAGCAGTCCCGGAACAACACGAAAAACTATGATGTTGCGGCCAGGAGCCTGGGAGGGGGGCGAGGCGTCGTCAGCGTCGGTGCTGTCGTCGCTGGCAGGGGGAAGGGCGGTGAGGGGCGCCGAAAATCTATGCAATGAGTGATGAAAATCTGGACAGGATGGCGAAACGTGTGGAGCGCGAGCCGCTCGGCGCGGTCTGGGTCGGCGTCGGGGAGCACCGCGTCCGGCTCGGGGAGGAAGGGGCCGGCCTCACGGGGGATGGCGTCGGGGTTGGGCGCCCAAGCAGAGAGGCGGAACACAGACATGTCCGCCCCAGAGCGCGTCTCGGGCGCGAGCTCGTTGATCGCGCTGAACGGCATGAGCAGGGTGTCGATGGAGGAGCAGAACCAAGCGTGCTCGGGAACACCGGTGATCTCCAGGTCAACCTTGAAGCGAAGGGTGACGGTCTCGGCACCGGCGGCGCGGCTCCACGGGTGGAGGAGCAGGCGGAAATGTGGAGAACGCATGTTTGCAAGGCCGACCCGAGCGCGCGTCTTCGGCCAGGAGAAACGAAGGAGGAACTCGCCGGGCAGGCGGCTGTGGACGGAGAAACCGACGTCCTAGAGCTTGAACTTGGAGGCGAGCAGGTCGGCCACATCAACGCAGGAGACCCGTGTGCGTTTTCCTTCCAGGACGGCGATGAGGGCGCGCTGCTCCAGGGCCTCCTCGGCTGCGCGGACCTCCGCGGAGCGAGGGAGAAAACAGAGCGCACTTGGCGGGCGCATGGCGGGATGGATGAACATGGGGACTGCGAGCGACGGGGCGGAGCTGGAGGAGCGCGGCCGCGGAGTGTCGGAGGGGCGCGACTGGGAGGAGCCGGAGGGGGCGGCGGGGAAGGAGTGGCCAGCAAGGCGGAGGTGGTGGCCGTGGCGTCGCTGGAGGAAGGGGAGCCGGCACCAGACGGAGGAGACAGGTGCGCCACGCCCGAGCTGTCCCCACTGGAGACCACAGGGGAGACAGCCCGGGAGGAGGCGGCCGGTGTCGTGGTTCTAAGACTGACAGTAGAATAGGGGGTAGGAATGTAGAGGCAAGATCCTAGCTATGGACGAGTTGTACACACGAGTTTACGAGTTCAGGCCCTTCTCGGAGGAAGTAACAGCCCTACGTCTCGGAGCCCAGAGGCGGTCGACTGAATATATGTGTGTGGATTACAGAAAGTGCAAACCCTTGTCCCAGAGAAGGGGGGTGGCTTATATAGAGTGCGCCAGGACCCCAGCTCCCCTCCGTTACACAGGGTTCAATGCTCATAAAGAAGGGGCGTTACTGGTAACGTCTGCAGTAAAGTGTTGTTAATGCCCATAAAGCTAGGGTTTAAGTCCTGACCATTGCAGAGTGGAGGGTTTCTCATCTTCTGGTGGTCGAGTGTCTTCAAGGTGGTCGAGTGAGCACATATTCATGGTCGAGTGAATGATGGTTTCTCTTCGACTGCTTCTGATTCTTTGTAGAGATGTCCTTGGGGAGGGTATGTTGGACAGATCCATGACCCTACCCTAGGTACATAGCTTCATCATTAGCCCCCGAATGGATCAGGGTTTGAGTGAGGAAGGAGTTGGGAACACTTCCGACCCATTCTTTGTGCTATGAGTATATTTTGTTCTGGAACAACGAGTTGAGGTGACGACGTCGACTCCTTTCTCAGTCGCCTTGGTCCATTCTTGGTTTTTGTCGAGTGAATTTTCACGATAGAATTCTGAATGATGATGTAGAGGATGTTTGTCTTCAGTCTAACAGGTTGTTCTGCCCTCCGCGGATCTCGCGGGATTTGAATTTTGGGAAGTGCGCCAGACAGACGGAACCGAGGTTATCGGGATGGATTAGGCAAGTCTCCTCGATCCCCGTGCCACCTTTTTCGCCACATACTGCGCGCGCGACTGTTGCGGGATTTGTTTAGATCGCCTGGGTCCACCAGTCAGTCACTCGGGTGACGACCTTATAAAAGGCCCCGGACCAGGCCTCTGCCCCGTGCGCTCCCATTCTCTTCTTCTTCTCCCAATTTCTCCGCCACGCTCGCTTCTGCCCTCGTCGCCGGACTTTTGCTCGAGCTCGACCCATCGCCATGGGGAAGGAGAGGACGATGGCGCTAGAATGCGCGAAGAAGGCGACAACGAAGGCGAAGGGCAAGCGGACCAGCCGAGGTGGATCCTTGTCGAGATCTGGCCTGCCGGCGGGCTGGATCCAGGGCGACTGGATCCACTCGACAATCACCCAGGACGACCTCGACGACCTGGTGGAGGGGGGACTAACCCCCACAAGTTGGCACGGCTCCCGGGGAATGAAACCGAGTCGCAGCCAAGGGAGGGTGAGTGTGTTCTCCTCGCCACCCACGTAGATCACGGATTCTCACTACCTCCCCATACTTTCTTCCAGGGTTTTTTTGAACTTCTTTGGGGCTCAACTCCACCATTTCACTCCAAACACCATAGTCTATCTAGCCGCTTTCGTGTCGATGTGTGAAAACTTCTTGGGCTGTCGACCGCACTGGGGTCTTTTCAAACACATCTTCACCTGCCGCTCCTAGTCAGTCAAAAAGGCCAAGTCGAGTGACGAGAAGACACAAGTGATCCAGATGTGCGGGGGTCTGGGGATCCAGATGAGGAGCAAGAGTACTTTCCCAGCCATGATTCTCCTCGACTCGGTCCGGGGCTGGCAGTCGACTTGGTTCTACTGCAAGGATCAGCCGACCCCGGGTTAGTCGACTGGACTTCCTACCTTTTCCTTGGCTCGAGTGGAGAAGCCCGCCCCCCTGAAGGTAGTTCCAGAAGAGAAGGCGCAGGTCAAGGTGCTGGTTGAGCGGGTCGTCCAGCTTGTCCGCAACGGGTGACCGGGATGGACCTGCTGGAGGTCTTTCTCGGTCGACACATCCAACCTCTTTAGGCGCGTGATCATCCAATGTGGATGTACTCTGGGCTCGAGGATTCCACTCGGATCCACCCGGAGGACGTCAGCGAGGATACCTTGGAGAAGTGGTTGATGGGGATCACCAGCAACAAAGACAACCCTCGGGGGTCTAGGAGGGTGATTCCATTCAACAACTCGCACCAGCCGGAGCAGGTATAATTCTGTTTTATCAAGTATCTTTCCGATTCACCGTGTGATATCTTGTTTATGGTCGACAGAATTTCCTTTGATCGTTGTCCTTTCAGGCCCTCATCGACATGTACTCAATGCCCAACGGAGTGCAGGACCAAGACGCCGAGGAAGAAGCGAGCGGGGGCGAGAGCGGCGAGGAGCATTCAGAGGCCGAGGAGGACGAGGAGAGCGACGAATCGACCGATGACGAAGAAGTCAACTCGCCTCCTCACAGGGAGAGGAGAACCAAACACGCTCACGACCCGGCGAGCGTTCCGGACTTGGTGGCCGCGCCGACTGGTCAGTCTTCGAAGCGTCCTAGGACGTCTTCCCCAACGCCGACTGAAAAGGCTCCAAAGTAGTCCAAAGTTGCGCCGCCTCCAGTGCCGAAAGCTACCTCCTCCAAACTGCCAAAAGCTTTGCCCAGGATCAAAGTGACCGTTCCTACTATCTCCGGGTAACCATCTAACTTGTCCTTTTCATCGACTCAACTAACCGGACGTAACCGATTGAATGCGGGTCTTTGCAGTGCTGCTACGTCAGGAACCTCTTCTCTCCAGTACCGGGACGAGGAAATGGAAGATGCTGTGACCTCCAACCCAGGTATAAACTCTTGTGATTTTGTTCTTGATTCTTTGGTCGATTGCGTTCGAGTGACTCACTTGGGGTCGAATAATCTGCCTTGCAGCTCCACCCAACGTCATCGATCTTCCAGATGACGATGAAGATGTGGCTCTTAAGCCCAGGAAGAGCAAGAAGGTAGCTGCTGGTAGGATGTCTCGGCAAGAACCCACTATGACACCTCCCGTCCGTCAACCTGAAGACGTGGGCAGGGCTTCTGTGACCTTCGCTGCACCTTTGTCGAGTGAGCACCCCACACCGCCGACTGCACCTGTGATTACTTCAGTCGTCCAACTCCACGCCACGGAGCTCCAAGCCGCCGCACCTAGGTCGACTGCTCACTTTTTCACCAGCTACCCCGTCCCGGACAACCAGTCGAAAAGCGGCTGCGGAAGCCATCCGACATGCTGACATGATGATGGAGCGGGTGAAGGCAGTGCATGAGAACAGCCATGTTGCCTACGACGCCAGTGCTGCCCTTCGGGCCAATGTCGAGGTGAGTAGACTCGACTGTTTTTGCTCTGTGAGGAAGTGTTACTCGAAAAAATCTTCTTCTACACAGTCTGCTGTTGTTTGCGTCAAATTAGAGCACCCACTGGGTGTTTTGTTGTTTTTGGTAGTTTCGTTCTTCCACTCGGTCTGGGCGAGTGGGATCTGAACCGGTGGGGGCACGCTAAGTGCACCCACTAGGTGTAGTCCCCGAGACCGCGGTCGACTACTGGCAGTCGACTGGGGTCTGAGTTCTTCTTTCCTTTCTTTTGTACTCCTTACACTCGACTAAGGCGGACCGGTCGAGTAGTTTCGTTCTTCTACTCGGTCTGGGCGAGTGGGATCTGAACCGGTGGGGGAACGCCAAGTGCACCCACTGGGTGTAGTCCCCGAGACCGCAATCGACTGCTGGCAGTCGACTGTGGTCTGAGCAGGGGTTTTTTTGGGCCGGGCGGACCGGTCGAGTTGAGTCTTAGTCAGCGGGGGCACGCCAAGTGCACCCACTGGGTGTAGCCCCTGAGACCGCAGTCGACTATGTGTAGTCGGCTGGGGTGTAAGCGAACTTCTTTAGGTTTTATTCACTCGGAAGTAAACAACTTTTGATCTTATCGACTGATCCGTCTTTTGCCTTTTGAAGAAGTCTTGCACTCTCATTTCTAAGTTTGCTGAACTTTAGGAGAAGTAGAGGCAACTCAACCTCGACTTGGAATTAGCCCAGCAGAATCTGAAGAAAGCTCAAGATGAAGCCGCTGGTATGGAAGGTAACTGACTGTCGACTGACTTTCAATACATTTCTTTGATCTCTTCTTTGATTCGATTGCTTCTTTTGAAGAGAAAATGAAGTTGGCTCTGGAGAAGAAGGACTCGGACCTCGCCGCCGCGCAAAAAGCAGCCCAAGATAAAACTGCTCTCGCAGACCAGAAGCTTGCTTCAATCGGAACGCTGGAAGGAGAGGTGAACAAACTGAAATCTTGTCTTAATGAAGCTAACCGCGAAGTGACCAGTCTGAAGAAGGACAAGGTCGTCCTGAATGAAAAGCTGGAGTCTGCGATCCACAAGAGGAATGACACGGAAGCTTATCTGAGGACTCTTGCCAAGAAGCTTTATCTCACGCTGGAAGGTATTTCTTTTAATCCGACTGTGTTGATGCTTGCGATCGAATATTGCTCGGTCGATTGACTAATTTTTTGCTGTAGAATTCTGTCAAGACTTCGACGAGGAAACTGGAAGGGTCGAGACGGGTCTGGACCCTATCGCTTCTCCAGTCTGCGACGAAACTGCAATGAACGTGCTCCGACTGGAGTCCCGTATCACCAGCGCCACAAGCTACCTCGCGCGCCTGAAGGAGGTAGTCTCCTGAATCGACTCATCGCTTTGGCCTGGGGCGACGCTTCAGAATGTCCTGGAATCCCTAATGACTCGACTGAACGAGATCCCTGACTGAGTGCAAGAATGGAAAAAAATCCTCCGCCCAGTGTGGTGCTGATGTGGCGTTGTCCTTGGTGCGATTCCATTGCAAGGAAGCACGTGAAGACAAGCTGGCTGCGATCAAAGTCGCCAACACCAAAAAGCATGACTTCTAGTCCTTCATGGAGACTTTCATTCCTGCCGCCACTCGGATCACTGATGGGATCGACCTAGACTCATTTGTGGAGCCCGCCAGCCCTCCTCCGGCCGAGTGAACAAACTTATGAAACTTGAATCTGCTTTAAATTTGCCTCGGAATGCCGAGTGATTGTTGTAACCGTTGAACTCCTTCGGGCTTGATGCCCTAGCACTTTTGATTTGCTGCTTGGAACTTTTAGAATTTATCTGAATTTGGTTTATCTCGAATGTGCTTGCGTTTGCCTTCGAATGGACTTTGCTCACTGCTTGGACTAGTCTTTGTGCTGGAGACGCAGCTCCAGTCGACCCGTGCTTCGTCGTCCTCGCGGATAGGGATGGAGCGGACGTTGTACTTGTGTCGTAGCTCCGAAGGAGAAGGTTGCAGTCGACCTGCATCTCGTCGTCCTTGCGGATAGGGATGGAGCGGACGTTGTACTTGTGTCATAGCTCCGAAGGAGAAGGTTGCAGTCGACCTGCACCTCGTCGTCCTTACAGATAGGGATGGAGTGGACATTGTACTTGTGTCGTAGCTTCGAAGGGGAAGGTTGCAGTCGACCTGCACCTCGTCGTCCTTGCGGATAGGGATGGAGCGGACGTTCTACTTGTGCCGTAGCTCCAAAG